TTAATTTAGTTATGAATTAATGAGTCTCTGTTGGAGAGCCGAACCTAAAGATAGGCCAGACTTTATGGAAATCGCGGATATTATTGGAGCCCTTTTGGAGTCTAATGTTAGACAAGTATGTAATTCATGCTTATATGTACTGTAATTACTTGATCTAAAACTATATTACACTAATTGTGTGTTGAAAACAGCATTACTTAGATCTGAACGATCCGTATCAGGATATGAACGAACAGATACTCAATAATAATGATTATTTGCGGATGTCGTCAATGCATTCCTCGTCACGCAATGAGATTAATGACGATTATCTTAATATGAAAGTGAATGAGACGGACGGCGAACGCAAATCAGATCCACTCATACATTACGATAACTTAGGAGACATTCGGCCAATCGATGCCAACATTACCGCTCCAGTAGTGGCGATGGAAACGGTGCCTATGATTCAGTTGGACTCTTATGGACAACGATATGATGAGAAGAATTGGATCCACAAAGAGGGCCAAAATAGCGATTATCTAACAATGAATTTAAATAACTCTATAATTAATAAACACGGAAACTATAGTCAAACAAATCACAACTACAGTTCAGATTCATCGGATGTTTGCTTTCCGCCGCCATATAGTCATGTCATTTGAATTGTTTATAATAACTAAGTATTCAATATATTTCTCAAAAACCATTTATTTATAATATTTTTGTCATTAATTTATAGGAAACTAAAACTTTTTATCTATCTGTATAATTCATCCAATATACGTGCCTTATATTATATTTTAACATAACTTTTAATAATACAAATATATTTTAAGTAAAAGTATTTATTAATTTAAAATCATTATTTCCAAACCAAAAATTATTAGAGATTATAATTTTGCTATCAATTAGCTGTTAAGGCTTTTGCAAATAGGCTCAGGGTGATTTAGTCTTATACGGTGTGTTAGTGAGGGGTGGGTTGAGTTTAGCGGTGGCCGACTCTAAACTACATGTTGTGCCACACTTTCCATACACTGATAGTGTATAATACACCGCTTTTTGTGAGCTAACGCCCGGACCCTGAGTAGGCAAGACCAGCAGTCGGTATATATAGACTTGCCTTTTCTCTATTAGCGGTCTTGTGACAGGGAGGTGATATATTGGTGTACATTACTTTTATTATAAAGGACATTTATTCTTTTAGTAACTTATAATTATTTCAATAATAAATCTAATAAGAGATGAAATTGTGACCAACCATTGAGTATACCGGAGACAACCGTAAATTCATTGATCTTCAAGTGTTCGGTTTGATTGGAAACGACCGCATAATACAAATACTGTTCGTTAGAAAATGTAAATCCATTGCAAGTCTTATTCCCAACGGTTTCCACGTTTTCGTATATATTCTCAAACTTTGAATTGGTTTTGCATTTTAAAATTGAATTATAAATGGTCTGCGTTTCCACTATTGGTGTTACGGCTTTATGTTTGCACATTATATTATTGGTAATTAATTGTATTATTATTGCATAACTTAGTCTTATATCTAATTAGGATAAGAACTTACGAATATTCTGCACATTCTTTGCGTTAGGAATAGTCTTATGAATATTCTTGGCATCAATTGTAAACCCGGCGGATGTAATAATAATTTGCAAAAATACATTTAATAACAATATAAACATCATATTTAAACTTATTTAGTTGAGATCTCCTCCAAATTAAAAGTTATTATGTCTGTAATTACAAACACTTAAAAATAATTAAAAGTCTAAAACATTTGAAAAAGGTTTTTTCAACTTATCATTTAAAATGTTGTTTATACTGTATTTTACAATTTCAGCTGTTGTGAAAAATTCACTCCAGACTTACTAATGATTATATAATATTTTAAAAATGAATTTATGTGATAAAAATTATATTTGTAATTTTAAAACTTATAAATTAATGATATTTTATTAAATTATACATATTAGATTAATTAATAAATTATTAAAAATATTGTTTTATTTAAATCTAAAATCATAAAACAATTTTATGCATTATTATTGCATTGATTTTTGTTATTAATTGAAATGAGTTGAGTCTTTTCATTGACAACATTCTTATAGTCACTCAACGCTTCTGTGTCTTCAAATGTCTCAGGAAGTGGTCTGTTGTAAGTTTCGGGTAAATTCGTTGATAACACACAACACATCAGCGCTAATACTCCACAGAATATCAGCGGAACCTTATCTCCAAAAAATGTCTGTTAAAAATAATAAAAAATTGTGAATAAAAATCAATAACTCGTTAAAAACAACTTTAATTACCAGTTCTATAAGATGTGGTGCAATAATACCACCGATTCTGGAAAACATTTGACACAAACCGATTCCAGTACTTCGGACTACAGTCGGGAATATCTCCGCCGAATAGATATACATTAGTGTATAGGAGGCGGAGATATTGCTTTTGCCAAATATGGCCACAACTGTGAACAAAAAGCTTGATTTAGGTATGAATACAGTGCTCAGACACGACAGGCCAGCCATTAGTGAGAAACCAAATAAAATTGTTTTGCGACCAAAAAACTGCATTAATAGAGTGACGATCACATTGGCCGGGATGTCGGCCGCGGCGATGGCCGCCAGAGTTAGATAAGTGTTTGAACCCATGTTTGACGCTTGAAATGATAAGCCATAAAATATCAATGAATCAATTATCCTGTTCAGTAATAAAAACAAACATGATTATTAATTTAAATGGTTTATAAACTTAAAATTATTCATACCAAATAATAAATAGATTTAAAGACCATCTTCGAATAACTTTATGCTTTAGTATATCAATGGGTCCGTAATGTTTGGCATCACATGAATTTTGAGATGAATTTGAAGATTCATTTACTAATTTCTAATAAAAAATAATTGATGTTTTATTGTATAAAAACATTAATACTTTATACGAAAATTTTTATAATTATAAAATATTTAATTAATTAGAAAAATAATAATTGAAATACCTTATGAATAAAATGAGATTCATTTAATACAACACCATTCCATTTGGCGGCTCTTCTTATTGTATGCATTGCTTTATTGATCCGTCCGTTGGATGTCTGCCATCGAACCGATTCCGGGAATAACCTAAACAATCATTAATTAAATACAATAATATCTTAGTTTATCAAAATGTTATATAAACCAGGGATAGAAAAGAGTAATTATGATGGGAATTGACAAAACCATTTGCAAGTAACGCCAATCGCGGATATAATATGCGGTCAAACATAACAATACAGTTCCCAAAGAATAAACAATTTCTTGGAGATTAACGCAAAGAACCCGATACTTATTGCCGATGAATTCAATGCCTAATAAAAAATATAATAAGTTATAAAATAATTAACACATTGAATAGTATTTACGACCGATTATGAACGAGGCCTGACTCATGCCTACAATACAGGCGGCCGTTATTGCCGTCAAAATAGTAAAAACATAGATATTGGGCGCAAATGAAGTCAAAAAACTTGATGTAAAGCATATAATTGGGGCGAAATTGAAAAGTGCTTTCCGACCATATCTATAAAGGAAAATTGATCTAGAATATTTAAATATTTTCAATGATATAATAATAAATACCTGTCAGAGAATGAGCCGAAGAATAAATTGCCTAAAAGAACACCAATCATGAGTACGGACTGACTGAGAGGTAGTTTCCATAAGTTGTCACAAACAATGTCCCACTGAAGCAGAAATGTTTACTCAAATTTTTGCTCAATTCATACAATTATAGTAAAGAAACTCGTCTTTCAATCAATTAATACTTCTGTGACAACAGTTGAGTGAAACTCTTTGTTGTCATAAATATATTGATTACAACTTTCTATTGTCTTATTTGAAAACCAATTCTCAGAGCATTTGTTTGTATTATTTGTAAAATGATTAATGATTGGCGAAAATCTTTGGCAACTATTGTATAGTTTTGGTATTGAAAACGTTTGGCTTAATTGAAAAACTTGTTGATTCTTATCATATGAATCGCATTCTTTGATTAAACATCTGTCAAAAAAGTGTAAAATATTATTTTTTAAAAATATATTATTTTTTCAAACCCATCACTACCTGTGACCCGGAGTGCCGCTAATAAATACAGTTGACATCAGTATAAATCCTGAGTTTAATACAGGAATACATGATATGATAAATACAAATAACTGGTAATAACCAAATGAACCCAATTGTGATAGAGCTATGTCTGAATCCATTATAATTTACAAATTAACTTTTAATAAAATTTTTAATTTTATTTTTGTGCGCTAAAACTTATATAAGGTTTCAGATGACCTCATAATACCACAGAAATATCGATATTTAGCGCTAAAACATGAAAATATATACAGTATTTAAAGTTACATTTGATTACAAATGTGATACAAATTCATGTGATGTTTACGTATTCAATGAGTTTCTCAAAAACATAATCATCTGTTGAGAAGGAAATCCCTTTAATTTATATAAATCTGAATGAATGACTTCATTGTAATCATGTTTAGGCGTGTGTTTAGTTGAATCAAATGATTTCAATCTCTAAACATCACTGTTTATAAGAGGAGTTCATTTTGACCATAAGCTAAACTCTTTTTATGTCTATTTACTTGACACTGTCTATAAAATTATGAATGATTTGGTTGTTTTTCAATCAAATGAAAGGAAATATTGCAGAAAATATTTACAATTGATGTAAAATTTGATCAAAATTTCTAAAGTGAACTGAAAGTTGAAATGAAAACAGTTTTGAACTAAATTCGCTTTTTATAATTATTTTCATTATATTTTATAAAATGTAAATTTATTTTATTTATTCTAAGTGTTGATGTTATTTAAATATATAAAAATTATTGATAAAACCCTCAAATTATGCCAATAATACCATGAATTCATATAACGTAATATACATATTGAATAATACATGTATTTTGTTTTTATATTAAAAATGTTTACCATTTCTATAATGATATAAGGAATAGTAAAAATTTACAATTAAAATATAATTATTATGTCTTAAAATAAACATTTATTTATTTTAACATACAATGTATTTTATACAATGTACCTATGCTTCAGACAACCATCATAAAATGAACCAATAATTACAGTATTATAATAAATAAATCGTGTTTTCATTCATTAAATCTTAATAACTTTAAATAAGTTCATTAAATATTTTATCACATTTAAACTTAATTTATAGTATATAAAATATAATGTAAAATAACTTTTAATTAAATATACATTATTAGTTTAGTTTGAAATCATTAAATTATAATTTTATTGGAACTTTAGTTTAGAAATATTTGTATTGTACTTGGTACTTAAACGATAATAAAAACCACCAGCAAGTATTGTGCACTTGAACTGGTATATGCTATAACATGCTTAGGAGATTATGCATGTGTTGTACTTATTGAATTGAATTTATAGTAATTTGACTTTATAGAATTTATAGTATGTTTTAATTGATATTTATTTAATAATTGAACATTTATTTATTTAATATAAATTATAAATTACTTGATTTTAATATATCAATGCATTTAACACAATGGATTCACGCAATAAGTGCAATACAGCATAATCTCCTAAGCATGTTATAGCATATACCAGTTCACTTAATAATTATAAATTATAACACATATTGATAGAATCAATGCAAAAATAGCATTATTTTATTTTAATCATAATTAACAGTATTTTATTTAATTATGAAACTCACGATAAGAATTAATAAACAGAATTTTATTTATAAGTAAATAAATTCTTAAATAAATTAATTTTGAGATAAAATTATGTTAAAGAAGTGCATAACTATAATATAATTATTAAGTTAGTTTCAAACCTTTGAATCTCATGACTACAGCGTAACGTTTGATTTGAGCAAATTTGACAATAATTGACAGTATTTGACAACATATCTATAGAAATCATTTCAATTAAACACGATGGAATATAAATTTCCACAAAATATGCAAATATTCGCCATTATGTAATATGTACTGATAAGTTAATTTATTTTACTGAAGGTCTATTTTAATTTATTTCTAAGTCTGCATAAAAAATTACACCAAAAATAGATCTAAATATGATGCCATAAATTATAATATACGACAATAAATCACATTTACTTATAAAACCTGTAATACATTTAGACACTAATGCTCTAACTTATATTGCATTATATTATATGAATTTTAATAAAGAGCATAATATTAACAATTTTTGCACAATTCTTATAAAATTTTATTAAATGTTTAATATACTATTTTTTGAGTAATGAATAATTTTAATCAAATTTGTTAATAAATTATTATATTCTAAATCAAATGCTATTTTTATTATTAATAATAAGTCAGTATTTATTTTAATATTTTTTAAAAATTATTATAATTGTATTTAATATTACAATTGCATTAAAATTAATAAACAAATGAACTTTGTGCATCATTTGCTAATGAATTAAATGAATCTAAAGATTATTAAATAAAATGCATTAAAAATCTAAATAATAATTGTTATGCAAAACAGTTAAGCTTATGTTCACGTGTAGTAAAA